TATTTAAATTGTGTAAAAAAAAAAAAAAAAAGATGAGATTTTTACATGCAACTTTATTTTTTATGATTATAAAGATGCATTTAAGTGACAAAATATGAGCTATTCAGGAGGAAAACTAAGAAAAATCCAGTGTTCAATTAAAATACAAATGTTTTTAAATGATAGTGGCACATGACTATAATCTTAGCACTAAGGAGGCTCAGCCTCTCCTCTTCCCCATGATCTCTTTTTCCTCCCTCCCCCCTCCTTATTTACTTATTTATTTATTTATAGGGTCTCATATAGTTGGCCTCAAAATCAGAATCTTCCCTCAGATTCCCAAGAACTCGGATTACAGACGTGCACCACCATGCCCATCACCTCTCTTTCAGCAACATATGGCATTTCTTTTTCCTTGCACTGTTTCTAAATTACATTTTGTTTTATACATATCTCTTATAAACAGCAAATCACAAATTTGTTTTACTTCAGCCTTATAACCATTAGGTTTTCAAAAAATATTTGCTGAGCTCAGCCTCAGAAACAAAGCAAGCCCTATCTCAAAATTAGAAAAACAGAAAAGGATGCTGGGGCATGGTGACACACACCTTTTGTCCCAGCACTTGGGAGGCAGAGGCAGGCGGATCTCTGAGTTCAAGACCAGCCTGGTCTACATAGCAAGGAGTTTCAGGTCAGCTGTGGCTACAGGGAGACCCTGTCTCAAAAACACACAAAAAAAAAAAGAAAAAAGAAAAAGAAAAAAAAACTTAGAAAAGGTTATTTTCTTCTTTATAATTAATTATAGGTTCTTAAAATACTTTAATTTCATTTAATCTTTCATTTAACTTACATTACTATCTTAGCAATCTGGAAGTTTTTAGTACCCAAAAGATTAATGTTATTTGGCAATCATCAATCATTTAGATTTATCTACATGTTTAGCATGTTGTATACTTTATATCCAATTATTTATATTTGGAATAACTTTCCTTTTTTAAATTTTTTATTTATTATTTTATGTCTAAGCGTGTATTGCCTGCATGTAGGTAAGTGCACCCATGTCATGCAATGCCCGTGGACAGAAGAGGCTGTCCGAGTCCCTGGAACTGGAGTTAGAGACGGTTGTTAGCTGCCATGTGGGTTCTGAGATTCAAACCTGGGTCTTCTTCAAGAACAGTCAGTGTTCTTAACCGCTGAGCCATCTCTCCAGCCCCAATTTTCCTTCTTATTCAAATACTTATTTTGATTTCTATCAATAAAGGCCTAATGGCAACAAATTGCTATTATGTGAAAAATGATTTTGCTTCATTCATGAAAGATGAAGTTACAAGAACATAATTATAGGTTAGCATTTATCTTCTTCAATATACTCATACTATTTCACTATCATCTGGCCTTCACTGTTGCTATTCTGAGGCTAATTACAAAGGGTGTAGTGGTACACACCTATAATCCCAGCACTTGGGAGGCAGAGGCAGAGTCAAGAGGATCAGGAGTTCAAGGTAATTCCTCTACTATGTAGTGAGTGAGTTCAAGGACAGCCTGGAATACATGAGACCCTGTCTGAAAAAATGAAATAGACTAGTTTTCAATAAATAATGGGAAGTATCTTCTTAGTGAATGAACTCCAGTGTTCACTGTCCAGGTAGGACTATGCATGTTAATTTCCAGATAGTTATAGACCATAAAATCAAAATTCAAAGAGACATCCAGTTCTGAAAGACATTTCAAATTTTTGTCTTTCCTTTTTCTTTTCTGAGCCTCAGAATTTGACACAAAACGAGTAAGTAAAACAGCTAAAGCAGACACTGATACTTCTCTGAGAGCTTGAATACCTCTGCCTAGACTGGAAACACTTGATGATCTCTAATCCATGTCACAGTTCATTTTTTTCTTTAAGCATAAGCATTCAACTGTATACCGGACAACATATAGCTAAACATTATGATGACTAATGACTAATCTTGGTTGCCAACTTGACACACTTCAATTGAGGAATTTCCTCCATCAGACTGGCCTGTGCACATTTCCTTGACTGCTAATTGATGTGGGAAGGCCAAGTCCACTGTGGGCAGTGCCATCCCTGAGCAAGTGGGCCTGGACTATCTAAGAAAGATGGCTGGGCAAGCCAGGGGAAGCAAGCCAATAAACAATCTTACTCCATGGTCCCTACTACAGTTCCTGACTCTACATCCCTGCTTGAGTTCCTTCCCTGGTTTCCCTAGATGATGGACTGTAACCTGTAAGATGAAATAAATCCTTTCCTCCCCAAATTGCTTTTTGGTATTTATCACAGCAACAGAAACTAAACTAGAACACACACAAAGAGATGATCTGAGGTCAGTTTTTAGAACTCAGACTTATGTTCCTTGGGTTGTCATGTGATTCACCTCAAGAAGTGCAACAGCCTTGTAAAATAAGCATTTTAGTGGACTATCAAAGTCAGGTGAAAAAATTAAATAATAATTACAGATGATAAATGATAAAATCAAATTGAGTAATGGGAGAGAAAATAACAGGGGAAAGGGAGGCTGACTACATTCTTTAGGTTCAGAGAGGGCCTCTCAAACAAGATATTTGACCTAAGACTAAATGCAAAGAACCAGAAATGTGAAGCTCTGGGACAACAATGTGTTAGCGTAGTCCACAATGAGCAATCTGGCCAGTACGAAAACTCTGAAATGAGCTGAGAGTTTGGCATTTGTCTGGCATACACAGGGCTCAAGGTTCCATGCCAAGAACTGCAACAACATCAACAGCTCTGAGAGGAATGAGCTGACATGCCTAATCAACAGAAAGGCAGCAAGTGCTACTTGGAGAGTACTGAAAATGTCTGAGAGGCACGTGAGATGGAGTCAGGCAGAGTTCACATCACAAAAACCATTACTTCCATCAAGAGGACTGGGTCACACTGCAATCCCAGCACTTGGGAAGCTGAGGCAGGGTTACTATGTATTCAAGGTCAGCCTGGCTTACATAGTTCCTGGTCAACCTGAGATACAGTATGAGACCCTATCTCAAAACAAACAGCAAACAAGTATTCTAGTCAAGATTTCATCTTATTTTAAAGAGAAATATAGGGGACTGGAGAGATGACTCAGTGGTTAAGAACACTGGTTGTTCTTGCAGAAGATCCGGGTTCGAATCCCAGCACCACATGGCAGTTAACAACTGCCCATAACTCCAGTTCCAGGGGATCGGACAGCCTCCTCTGTTCTCCGTGGCATTGCATGACATGGGTGCACTTACCTACATGTAGGCAATACACGCATACACATAAAATAAAAATAATAAATAAAATATTTTAAAAAAGAAATACAAAGATTTTAAAGTAAACACAAAAAGATAGTGCTATTTTAAGATCACTGTGAATGTTAAGACAATTCAACAGGGCAAGATGTTCTTCTCAATAAATAATAGGACAACTGGACATTGACACCTCATAAAAATTAATGCAAAATGGGGCTGGAGAGATGGCTCAGAGGTTAAGAGCTCTGACTGCTCTTACAGGGGACCCACATGGCGGCTAACAACCATCCACAACTCCAGTTCCAGGGGAATTGAACTCCTTCTTCTGACCTCCCTGGGTACTGCACAACATGGGTACAATTACACACATACAGGCAATACATTCATACACATAAAATAAAAATAAGTATTTTTTTAAAAATAATTCAAAATGATATCATTTTTTCTAATGTAAGAACTAAAACTACAAAACAGAAAAATATAGGATAACATCTGTGACTCTTGGTTAGACAAATCCATTATTTTATTTTATTTTTCTTGTGTTTTTGGGACAGGGTCTCCCTATAACCCCAGCTAGCCTAGAACTTGCTATGTAGACCAGGCTGGCCTCCAACTCAGAGAGATCCCCTTGCCTCTGCCTCCTGAGTGCTGGGATTAAAGGTGTGTACCACCACGCTCATCTTATGGTATGGTATGGTATGGTATTGTATTTTAGGTTTATGAGTGTTTTGACTTCATGCATGTGCATTACATGCATGCAGTGCCCTTGGAGGCCAGAAGAGGGTGATAGATATCTTGGAACTGGGATGACAGATGGTTGGTAGCTGCCACATGGGTGCTGGAAGCCCAATTCTGATCTTCCACAAGAGCAGCCAGTGCTCTTAACTGCTGAACCATCTCTCTAGCCAAGGCAAGCCCTTCTTAAGACAGACCAAAAGCATAAGGGACAAAAGTAAAAATAAAGTGGGTCTCATCAAAATTATAAAAACATTTGTTTCTAAGGATACCAGGAAGAAAGTGGAGAATACACAGAATGGAAGAAAATTTCCAAATTATATATATATATATATAAGAGACTTATGGTATATATTCACTCATAACTCAATAATAAAAAGATAGACTAGGGGTTTAACTCACTGGTCAAGCACCTGATTGGCATGCTCAAGGCCCTGAATTAGGAGTGCCAAGATAGCCAGGCCTACATAGTAAGACAGTGTTTCAACCTCCAACCCCCTAGAAAGACACAAATTAAAACTACAATGAGATATATTACTATATAACTGTTACGGTAGCTAAAACAAAAAGTAGAGACAGTATGAAATGTTACAATGATTCAGAGAAACCAGATCACTCATACTTACTGATAGGAATGCAAAATTTTAGTTAGGCACTATGGTAATAAGTTGGTAGTTTCTTTAAAAACTATATATACAAGCCTCTACCATATTACCCAGCAACTGCATTTTTGAGCATTTAATACAGAGAAATGAAAAAAATGTACACAAATGCTTTTAGCAGTTTTATTCATAAGAGTCAGAAACTGGAAAAAAAAACAGATCTTTTTAACAGATAAGTGGTTAAACTCTGGCACACCTGTACCATGAAATACTATTTAGCAATAAAAAAGAGCAAATTGGGGGCTGGAGAAATGGCTCAGCAGTTAAGAGCACTGACGGCTCTTGCAGAGGACCTGGGTTCGATTCCCAGCACCCACATGGCGGCTACGAACCATCCTTAACTCCAGTTCCAGGGGACTCTGAAGCTCTCTTCTGACCTCTGTGGCATTGCATGACACGGGTGCACTCACATACGTGCAGGCAATACACTCATACACATAAAAGTAATAAATAATATTTTTTTTTTAAAAAGAGCAAATTGCTGAGCATGGTGGGGCACACCTTTAATGCCAGAACTCAGGAGGCAGGCAGGTTTCTGTGAGATCAAAGGCAGTCTGGGTTATACAGCAAATTAGGTCAGCTGGAGCTATGGGAAGACCCTGCCTCCAAAAATGTAGCAAATTATTAATATAAGCAACAATCTGGGTGATGCTACAGAGATATGAGTTAAGAAAAAAGTCAACTACAAAAGATTATACACTATACTACTGCATTTATATACTAATCCCTGAAATAGTAAAACTATAGACTGAATGGTTGTCAGAGATAAATAAGAGACTAAGGGTGGGGGCTGGAGAGCTGGTGCAGCCCTTAAAGGCTCAGGCTCACAGCCAAAAGACAAAAGAGTAAGGGTGGGAGAGAAAGGGGCAAGAAAAAGGATTCTTGTGGTGATGGAAGTGTTCTGTTTTCATTTTGTTAATCAACTTCCTAGTCTTGATATTTCATTAAAGTAACACTGCAAAGGAGACATTCACAAGATTCTACTCACTACTCTGGGGAGTGGAGAACTGGGTAACAGAACAATGGATAGCTCTGCATTATTTCATGCAACTGCATATGGATTCCAGTCATCTCAAAATGAAATGGCTAATTAAAAAGTAAAGCCCAGGCTGGGTGTGGTGGCACATGCCTTTAATTCCAGTACTCAGGAGGTAAAGGCAGGTGGATCTCTGTGAGATAGAGGCCAACCTGGTCTACATAGTGAGTTCTAGGCCAGCTGGGACTCAGGGAAACCCTGTCTCAAAAAGACCAAAAGAAATTGTAAATCCAGTGACATGGTGGAACATACCTGTAATTTTAGGCTTGCCTGGGCTTCACAGTGAGACCCTGTCTCCAAAATGCACAAATAAGGGACTTCAGATATAGCTCAGTGGTTAAGAGCACTGGCTGCTCTTAGAGAGGAGCCAGGTTCAGTTCCCAACACCCTCATGGTGGATAACAGCTGTTTATAACTCCATTTCTGGGAGCTCCAATGCCCTCTTCTGACCTCTGTGGGCACTGCACGACATGGGTGAACTTACATACATGCAGGCAATACACTCATATACATAAAATTAAAATAAAAATAAACAAATGATTTCATATCTTGAGGCAGAATAAATTGAGAACTATTATGTAATATGACTTTTTTTACTTTTAAAGTTCACATTAAGAAATTTTTTATAAAAAAAATCTTTAAATTTTTACTTTATGTTAAAAATACACATAAAAAAGCTACAACAATATTAACACAGCATGTTATATATTACAAAGGAATCATTTCTTCCTTTGGCTCTCCCAGATCCTCGTGGCACTTTATACCAAAGGCGACCTCTGTGGACCACAGCAACTGCAATCCCCACCTTCTAGTATCAGTTGGCTTAGCCAATGAGTGATACTAGCAGACATCAGAGGGTCTTACTGTCCCTCTCCCCTGCCATCCTTCTCCCCTCCTGGACCACAGTTTAGTAGTAACTGCAGTCCTCTACTGAGGCCACACTCATGGCCAAGCCAGTATTCCTATGCCTTAGCAAGTGATCTTGCTGGGTTCTGCTAGCTACTAACTCTGTGTCTTCAGAATTAAGAGTGACAACAGTTGGGAGCTGGAGAGATGGCTCGGCAGTTAAGAACATTGGTTGTTCTTGCAGAAGACCTGGGTTTGAATCCCAGCACCCACATGGCATCTAACAATTGTCTGTAACTCCAGTCCCAGGGGATCCGACAGTCTCTTCTGACCTCTGCGGGCATTGCATGACACGGGTGCACTTACGTAAATGCAGGCAATACATTCATACACATAAAATAAAAATAATAAATTTTTTTTAAATCTTAAAAAAAAAAGAGTGACGACAGTGGCTGTAGCTAACTATAGGATAAGTTACTATTACTTGGTTGTTTCCCTAAGCTTTTCCCACATCTTTTTAGTGAAGCTCTTCTCAAAACTATCCATGGAGATATTTGGGTGTGTCCAGTACTTTAAGTCAGGACCATGGTGAACTTGCCAAAAGGTGAAATCTGGAATACTAGATTATTAAATACCAAGTCCCTAGAAATGTACAACTAGGGGTTGAAGAGATGGTTTAGCAGTTAAGAGCACTGGCTGCTCTTGCAGAGGACCTGGGTTTGGTTTCCAGCACCCACATGGTAGTTAACAACTGGTAACTCCAGTTCCAGGGGATCTGATGCCCTCTTCTGGCTTCTTGGGCATCACACACTTAAACACATGCAGACAAAACATACATAAAATAAAAATAAATAAAAGTTTTTAAGAACTACAGTTAGAATGATGGGAATATGGGAATGGCTTTCAAAAAATAAACGTTGGGGTGATTTAAAAATCTCTATTTAATGCTGTGTAGCAAAGAGTATGGTCTTGACCAAAGAGAGGTCTGGCCTCTGTCCAGACTCCTAGGGTGATAATCTCTAAATTCTTAGAATTTCCCTAGTAACAGGAGCAATGCTGTTATTCAAGGTGGAGTCTCTGGGCCACACCTGCAGTTCATACTAACCTGGTGACTCATGGGGGCTCCCTTGAACAACACGGTATTAGTCTAGCCTCTTAGGAAGGAAGGTCTGGAGACTAAACGTAACCATACAGATAAACAGCCATGTCTATGCAATGAAGTCTCGGTAGAAATCTGAACACTGAGAAGTAATCAAATTCCAGGATTGGCAACTCTCCACAAACACTGTTACATTTCAATTCCAAGAGGGAAGCATGCCCTGAAGAACACTGCAGCTTCCCATGTAGAGCCTTTCTGGATTCTGTCCTATGCATCTTTTCTTGGCTTTTATGAACCTGTATTATATTCCTATATAAAATGTAATGGTGAGCACAATAGGTTTCAGTGGATTCTGGAGGTTTTTCTAGCAAAGTAGTAAATATTAAGATAGCTCTGGGAAACCTCTGAACTTGCAATTGATATGAAAAGTGACTTATCATCTGACTCTGCAGTTGGGGTCAGAGGTCTTGGGCAGGCTGGGTTGCCTAGAATACTGTGCCAGTGCCCTTATGGTTTTGCTAATTCCGGGTCAAAGAACAAATAATATTCGAAAATCTAAACTTAGATTTACTTGCTAAATTGATAAATTTTCCTACATATGCATTTATTTATTTATTTTATTTTCTGAGACATCAACATATGTATTTATATAACCTGAATTATACTTACCTGAGGGTCCACTAACCACCCATGATACAAAGGAATATCAAGAAGATCAAATACTATGCACTCCGGGGTATACTCAAATACTCGCACACCGGTGAATTTGACATTCACGTCCAGACCCGTTTGCAGTTTGTGCAGGATCGCCATAGCATCACTCATGTTCTGCAAACAGAAAAGGGAAGGTGGAGTGAAGAAAAGAGCATAAAAAAGCTGTGCATGGTGGCATGTGCCTGGAGTCCCAGCATTTGATCATTTGAGCCCAAGACTTCCAGACCAGCTTGAGCAACATACAAGACCCTGCTTCTTTAAAAAATAAATAAATAAATTTCCATTTTATTCATTCATCTCTTTAACAGACTTTTACTTTATGATTTTGTTTATTCTTTGTTTTTTTTGTAGTCATGCACCCACTATGCCTAGTTTATGCAGCAATGGAGACTGAACCCAGGGCTTTATTCACGCTTGGCCAACATTACAACTGGGCCACATCCTCAGCCCCTCAACAGACATTCATTAAGTATACAATATGTACCCCAGGCACTAATCTGAGTTCCAAAGATATGCTAGTAAGTAAAACAAAGATTTTGCTCTCAGGTAACTAACATTCTGCTATGAGACACCCACGTAAATATCCAGTAACATCCAGTATTATCAAGAAAAACCAAGCAACATAACCTTGTATACTCAAAGTACATGACTTAAGGACCTATTTTTCTTTTTGTTTTTTTGTTTGTTTTGAGACAGGGTCTCACTCCACAGCTCTGGCTAGCCTGGAACTTGCTATGTAGACCAGGCTGGCCTTGAACTCAGAGACTTCCCAAGTACTGGGATGAAATGCATACATCACCACGCTGGGCTAGGACCTATTTTTAAACCAAGAAGCCTAAAGCAAAAGCCTAAAGTTAAAGAAGGCCTCATCTACTTACAGGTCTATAGCCGAAGAAATTCAAAGAAAGTCTCGAAAAGATATTTGCAGATCCAGGTTCATTACCACATGATTCACAACAGTCAAATGTCTACTGCTAAATGAATGGGTAAGGAAACTACATCTGTGCTGGAGAGATGGCTCTGCAGTTAAGAGCACTGACTGTTCTTGCAGAGGACTGGAGTTGGGTCCCCAGCACCCACATGGTGGCTAACAACTGTCTATAACTCCAGTTCCAACAGATCCAATCCTCTCTTCTAGCCTCAATGGGTATGGCATGCACGTGCTACACTTACATACATGCAGACAAAACACTTATGCACATAAAATAAAAATTAATTAATTACAAAAAGAAAACCAGGAACTGGAGATATGGCTCAGTGGTTTAAAGTGGAAAAGACTGCTCTTCCAGAGGACCTGATTTCTATTCTCAGTACCTACATCAGGCTGTACCCAGCAACCTGTAACTCAAGCACTGCACTCACATGCACAAACCCACACACATATACATAACTTAAAAAAATTAATTATTTAAAAAAGAAAAACCACATCTGTACACATAATGGAATTCCTGCCATATGATATGATATAGATGAACTCTGAGGACATTATGCTGAATGAAATGAGCTAGTCCCCCCAAAACACTTTGATTCTGATTCTATGTAATCTGAAGTAATCAAAATTACCAAGAGGCCTGAGAAATGCTCAGGGGCTGAAGAGATGCTGAGCAGCTGGGTTCTGTTCCTAGCACCCACATGGTGGTTCATAATCACCTTTAACTACAGTTCCAGGGAATCTGATGTCTTCTGGCCTTCACAGGCACCAGGCACACAAATAGTACACATACATGCACGTAGGCAAAAACTCATACATATAAAATAGAAATGAGGGGACTGGAGAGATGGCTGTGGTTAGGAGCACTGGTTGCTGGCCAGGTGTGGTGGTGCACGTCTTTAATCCCAGCACTTGGGAGGCAGAGGTAGGTGGATCTCTGTGAGTTTGAGGCCAGCCTGGTTTACATAGCAAGTTCCAGGCCAGCTGGGGCTAAAGAGAGACCCTGTCTCAAAAAGACCAAAAAAAAAAAAAAAAAAAAAAAAAAAAAAAAAGAGCATCTACATGGCACCTAACAACCATCTGTTCATCTGTTACCTCCAGCTCCAGGAGATTTGACACCCTCTTCTGGTCTCTGCAGGCATTGTGCAACACAGGCACACTTACATACATGCAGGCAAAACTCTCATACACAAAATAAAAATAAATCTAAAATTTTTTTTTAGTTAGAAAGGAGCTCTCAGGCCATGAAAGGACATAGAAGAACCCAACTGCACATCACTAAATGGCAGAGGTACATCTAAAAGATTATGTGATTCCCCAAGTGGAATCTCGGTCTGGAAATGGCAGAATTTACAGAGACACTAAAAAGATCAGTTGTCAGAAGTCAGGGAGAGTGGAGTAACAGGCAGCACACTGTGAAACTTTTCTGTGTTGCATTATGCTGGTGGATACACACCATCATACACTTGTCAAAATCCATAGAATACATAACACCAAACATTAATCCTAATGCAACTTATGGAATCTGGATAGTAATCATGTGTCAGTGTAGGTTTGGTGAGTATGTGAACTGAAATTCCCAGAAAAAAAAGCCACATCTATGTTAGAGATTTTACAAGGCTGACTGACTGATTTGAACTTGATTATGGGCTAGAGATATAGTGCAGCCCATAAAGACTCAGGCTCACATCAAAAAGAACTTGATTATAAAGCACTGGAATATTGTAGATCCAGAGCCAAATTATCTTGGGCTATCTTTAATTCCCTTAATTCATGGCCATTTCTGCACCTGACCTCACATCCATAGGCCCATCATGTAAATATTTTTAGAATGTATTAAGTTGCTGGGCTTGGTGGCACATACCTTTAGTCCCAGCACTCGGGAGGCAGAGGCAGAAGCAGAGGCAGAGGCAGGTGATTTCTGTGAGAGCAAGGCCAGCCTGGTTTACACAGCGAGTGCCAGGCCAGCTGGGGCTACAGGGAGACCCTGTCTCAAAACAAACGAACAAACAAACAAACAAACAAATGTATCAAGTTAAGACCACCATCTTCTACAAACCTCAAAGCTAAGAATGTCATTAGGTAGCAGAGAATTCTCTGCTGTAATTGCCTACCTGATGTTCACATCAATATATCTGAAAATGCCTTGATTTATGAATTTCCTTTTGTTCTGTGACTATAAAAGTATTATGAGTTTGGTAATTTGGGGTAACCAATATCAAACTCAAACAATACTCTCTGTTCCCAGGCCACAACCACTCATGATTGCCTCAAGAATAACTAACCCTTAGATCCTGTGAGGTAACAGCTTGGATTTGTGTGACAGGCCTCACAAATGTACTACTCTGGTGCGGGATGGATATTAATGGGGATAGCTGCACGTGTTGGGTGAGGAGGAACAGGAGACAGAGGGAAATGATCTACTTTTTCTTTGCTTGATTGTGCACTGAATGTACTGAACCTGAAAGAGTAGTGGGGAAGGGGTGGGGGGAGGGATGGAGAGGAAGGAAGAGAGGCAGGAAGGAAAGGAAGGAGGGAAGAAGAGGAAGAAAGAGGAAGGTTTTTTTGAAGACATCCAGACAAAGTGAACACTAGTGAAAACAAAACAAAACAAAGAAAAAACACCTTGATGTGGGGTCTGAGGAGATGACTCAGTGGGTAAAAGCATTTGCTGCCCAAGTATGAGGACTTGAGTTCAAATTCCCAGAACCCACGTATGGTGTGGTGGTGTATATCTTTAATCCCAGCACTTAGGAAGCAAAGGTCAGTCTGGTCTACATAGTATAGCAAGTTCTAGGCCAGTTAGGAAAAAAGAAAGAAAAGAAAAGAAAAAAGAATCTAGACACAATAAGCACCTTTGTAATCCTAGTTCCCTATAGGGAGGTGGGAGGTAGAGACAGGAGACACACCAAAAGCTCCTAGACCAGCTAGCCTGGCATATACATTGGGGGGAAAAAAGATCGTGCCTGAAACCAGACAGAAGGTGAGTACTGACACCCAAGGTTGTGTCTTTTGACCCTTATACACAGGATGTGACACAAGTGCACCCGCACTCACACATGAATGTGTACATGTGCACATACCTGCATGGGAACACACACAGATTTTTTAAAAATTAGTCCCAGCACTCAGGAGGCAGAGGCAGGAGGATCTCTGTGAGTTCAAGGCTAGCCTGGTCTACATAGTGCATTCTAGGCCAGCTGGGCTACAGGAAGACCCTGTCTCAAAAAAAAAAAAAAAAAGGTAAAAAAAAAATATGGGTAGAGATGTAGCTCAGTGGGAGGGCAACTGCCTAACATATATAAGACCCCAGGTTTGATCTCTACTATCACAAAAAAACAAAGCAAAACAAAACCAACAATAAAAGAACTTTGTTTCAGAAATGAGTGCATTACAGTGTCCATGGAACAGCAAGGAGTCCAGCAAAGGCAGACATCAATAAATGAGGTGGAAAGTTGTAGGAGATAAAGTCTAAGTGAAAAGCAGAGAAAAGTTAACAAAACCTAACTGCCCAGGTCAAGGAAGTAATTTTCTGTCCACATCAAGTTTCTCAATAACAGTGGTCACATGGGTTAATGAGATGGCTTAGTGGGTAAGCGCACTTGCCACAGAAGTCTGACAACCTGAGTTCAACTGCTGGAACCTACAGTAGAAGGAGAAAAGCGACTCTTGCAAGTTGTCCCCTGACCTTCAAGTGCACCCACATGAATAAACATAAATCATTTAATGAAGACTTTTATTTTTTTAAACAATATTTTATTTATTTTTTATTTTATGTGTATGAGTGTACTGCCTGCATGTATGTGAGTACACCCGTGTCATGCAATGCCTCAGAGGTCAGAAGAGGGCTTTGAATTCCCCTGGAACTGGAGTTAAGGACGGTTCGTAGCCACCATGTGGGTGCTGGGAATCGAACCCAGGTCCTCTGCAAAAGCAGTCAGTGCTCTTAACCGCTGAGCCATCTCTCCAGCCCATGAAGACTATTTCAAAACATGTTTTTCTGAATGTTTTAACAGACTAAACATGGACATAAACAAGATATATTTAGAACAAATAAAAACCAGTACAGAACTAGTTTGGTGTATAGCACATTTCTGTCATTTCAGCACTGGAGAAATGGAAACAGAGGATAGGAGTTCAAGGCCAGCCTGGGTAATAGATTAAGACCCAGTCTCAAAAAAAC